GAGTGGGACCCTACCCAGAGAAGCAGTGATGCCTGAAATGGAGACAGAGATGATGACGTGGAGCAATGGAGCAGCTGGAGACTTTAGGTCCAGAGAGGGAGAGCGACTGTGTGCTGAAGACCTGGGGGGTACCAGGGAAGAATTACAGGGTATACCCTTTGGTTGGTTGATGATGCATGGAGGGGACTGTAACCATGGCAATGAGACGATATACAATAGAATGAATGTAAAACTAATGTTTTCCCATGTAAACTATCACATAATTCACAATAAAACATTTAAGAAGAAGAAAAAAAAAGATCATTAACAAACCAGATATCATCATCAACAATGATACCAATGGTATCATTTCCCAAATAATTGCAATGTGCCAGGTACTGTTTTAGACCTTTAATATCTCACTTAATTTTCACAACAATAATCTTTGCAAGGTAGCTGTTATTATTCCCATTTTTGTGGATGAGGAAAGGAGATTCCAAGAGACTAGAAATTCCCAAGATCATACAGGTAGTAGGAGGTTGTGCACAGTGAATAAACCAGGCCAACCTGATTCCAAGTCTAGCCACCCTGATACATCATGACCCTTCAGGGTAAGAGTGACCACTAAAATTCAAGAATAGCAACACACAAGGAAAGTTAGAGAAGATCTTTGGGGGTAGAATTAGGAATACACTCATGGTGAATGTGGATAATAATGATACAGGAAAAATAGCTTTATCAAGGAAGAATAGAGAACATAAAATGAAGAAAAGCATACAAAATTAAATATACAAAAAATTAAAGAAGTGGCTAATGATAGTTCAAATAAAGGCAAAAGGTAAGCCAAGATCTTAAGCTCCCAAACTGTATAAGGAAACTTCAAAAAGTTCATGGGAAAAATAGAATTGAAAGATAATGCAATTTTTCCACAAACTTTTTGAAGCTCCCACATATAACATCCTTTCCCTAACTGCCTTTTTCTAGTCCTCCTAGCAACCTCTTCTAAATAGCCATCAATATTACCCTGAAGGGGTGGTGTTGTTAGATGTCGTGGAGTTGTTCTGACTCATAGTGACCCTGTATAGGGTTTCCAAGGAATAGCTGGTGGGTTTGAAACACCAACTTTGTGGTTAGCAGTACAATGCTGATCATACATCACCACACCAGGACTCCACCCTGGGGGTTGGGAGAATGGAGGAAAACAAACCCGACCATTTGTCAGCTTCCAATTTTTAAAAAGCAGTTTTGCTAAGTATCAGCAGTGTGATGGGAGGGCCCAGAGGAAGTATCAGCTGCTGAAATCTGGGTTTTCTATGCTTCTGATAAAAACTACAGTCACAACCATAGCAGAAAGTAACATTAACTGCTGAAGAATTCAGGAATTATGCTCTCGAAGAAAGGACAGTACATGAATAGTATTAAACAAAAGTTAAGCGCTGAAAAAGAACAATAAAAAAATAAAGGCAATAGCGAAGACTACAATTTCAGTCTATAACAAGTATCATCCAACTAGAAAAGGGTTTCTGTTTTGTTTTAGCTCAAACACATAATAAGGATGCAGGAAAAGAAGGGGAAAGAAAGGTTTAGTGATTGCTCATCTTTTTTTTTTCTTACACAGAATGTTCAGAAAGTAAATAATTAAATGTTTTTATTTCTTCCTATGGCTTTATAAGATTGTAGAGAAATACATTTGTTGAAGAGAATTGATTACTTGTTTGTCCTAAATCTATCAAAGTCTTAAATACGATATAATAAATAATGCAACCAACGAAAAGTTGTTTTTGTTGAATTGTTAGGTGCCATTGAGTTGATTGACTCATACCAATCCTACAGAGGGTTTCCAAGGCTGTAAATCTTTAAGGGAGCAGAAAGTTTCATCTTCCTCCACAGAACAGCTAGTGAGCTTGAACTGCTGACTTTGTGGTTAGCAGTCCAGTGTTTATCCTACAATACCACAGAGCTCAAACTGATTGCAAAAGGTTAATTAAAGGGATATTTTCACAGGTATCATCAGTAGTAAATAGTTATGTTGGTAGACATCTCATGAAAATATGACACTTGGTAGTTAGTAAATGTTCAATGTAGAAATGAAATAAAGATAATTTTACCTTTAGTATTCCTACACCCACTTTTGCTATTCTGATCAGCAGCAATCAAACTTCAGAGAAACATAGAACATTGTGGGGCAAGTGGAAGAAGTGTTCATCAAATGACTATAAAACTTTCAGGCAAGCGCTGTGGTTAATGTGCTGGACTGCAAATTTGGTTTGAACCTTAAAGTTGGGATTCAAGCTCACCAGCTGCTCCTCAGAAACCCTATACAAGGTTCACTATGAGTTGGAAGCAACTCAATGGCACTTAACAGCAACAACAGCATATGAATACTGGAGAAGTCTCAGCAAAGGACACACAATCTCATCATTTTCAGTGAATAAATACTAAAGAAATCTGAACTGACTAGATTTCAGATTCATCATCCAATATCAAGTTCAAATCCAACTGAAAATGAAAGGCTTAGAAACACTGCACGACATGCATGCTGAGTTTTCTTTTCCACCTGAAACTGGCATGTTTCCCCTACTGTTTGCCTTTGGAGCTGCTAAAGAACTTACCAATATAGTATTTTGTTTGTCTCACAAGCTAAAAACTTATTTTCTCAGTCCTCTCAAAAGCTGACTACAAATAATTCTGATTCCTAAATAAACCTGAAGATAACTAATCCCTCTATTTGTCTAACTTCTCTAAATTCAGCAATGCAAAAGGCACATATGAATCAATGACTCTTCTCTAAGTTCCCTCCTCTTTTTCTCTTCTTCCCTGCCTTGAAACTCAAGCAACTTAAAAGCTAGATAATGTGATCCAGAAGTAACGGGGCACTTTTTTCCTTTTCCAACCCTGAATTTAAGAAAATAAATACATCACAAACTGTGGTCACAAAAAAGTATTAAAAACACCAAATGCCTATTTTCTCCCTTTTAATACCAAAATTCTGGAGTAAACATCTTTTCTAGAAATTTATAAATGCATTCTAAAACCATACATTGACATTCTTAAAGAAAAGTATCTTGACAAAGAAACATGAGTATTATTAGGGTACAGAACCTATAATATATGAATTTCCCATAGCCACTGTGTATTAGGGAAAGGAAAATATTGTGCTCTTGGATGCCAAAGGATAACTGAAGAGTTGGCCCCAAGCCAAAGTGGTCCTGGGAGGACAGGATAATGGACAATCCTACCTGGTAGGCATCAGGAATGTTGACAGTTTCTCCATGCTCCCCGACATAGCCAATGATGCCTTTGCCCCAGGGGACCTGCACTTCGTTTGAATTCTCTGTACTGCTGCAGGGCAGTAGTGGGGTTCCTGCATGCACATCAAAGAATTTGGAGACCAAGCTCTTCTTGCCGGCAGCTGCCCCTTCTACTAGGAAGAGAGAGCAGCGATCAGCGTCCACCATGAGGCAGACAAAAATGAGGATCTTGTAGCTCAAGCTGGTGAGATCAAGGTCATTGGAGATATCCTTGACCAGTTCCAGGAAAAACTGACGCTCATTGTGTTTTTTGAGATGGCATTTGTAATCGATGGCCGTGGGGGGATACTGAGGCAGATTCACCCTCGATTCCAGTAGGGCACTGAGAATATGGGCAGTGGTGGGGGGCAGCGAGCTTGCCTTCCGGAGCAGTGCCCTCCGCCGCACACTGCTCAGGGGCTCTTGGGCCCTGGAGGTCACCTGTTCATCGTAGGTCCTATTCACATGGATGGCCTTGGAGCGAGCAAAACTCTTCCTTAGCTCTTTCTGTGAAGCTCTCCGCTGCAGGTTTCCATCGCCTCCTCCACTGCCACTGGCCCAGCTGGGACTCAGAGGAACGCCACCACAGTCCCCAACACCAGAAGTGGGCTGGTTGTTGGTAGTGCAATTTGGTCCAGTGCCGCCACTATCAACAATGCTGCCTCTGACACTGCCCTGAGCCAAGCTGCTGGTGCCAGCCAGAGCGGGCCTTGAACCTAAAGCCCCCTGACCCTGACTTTGCCTCTGAAGCCACTTCTCCACCATCTCCTGCTTCCCCTTCCTCATCAAATAATCTTCCAACAACTCTGGATGCCTGTCCAGAAAACTTTCTACTTCTCCAAAGTCCAGGTGAGGGTTTGCCATGGTCCCAGACACGGCTGTAACTGCTTCTCCACACTTTGGCCTAACGGTTACCTGCGCAGAGCCCTCTAGCTGGGCATGCACATGTCTTCCCACCAGTATTCCCAGCTCAGTGCTATCTCCCTTGCCAGCTGGAAATTATGCTGAGCAGTGAAATCCAGCTAAGAGATGCCCCCTTCCTTCTCTGGCTCAGAGAGTGGCTGGCACGATCCCCACGCCCTCGTCCTGCCAATCCTGCTCCGCACAGGTGCCCCCTGAGCAGAGCTGCTGCCGTTGTTGAAGACTCCAGTTCTGGAAACAAGGAACTGTCGCTGCTCTGGCTCTGGCTGCTGCTGCTGTTGCTGCTGCTGCTGCTACCGGATGAGTGGACCACTGTGAAAGGGAGGGAGGGAGGGAGGGCAGGACACGCCCCTGAGTGAGGCACGGAGCCCAGAGGGAGGAAGCCAGGGAGTCAGACTACCCAAAGTCCATGGTCCAAGACGCCAGGCGGTTCTTGGAAAAGTCTCTACCTCCGGAATCGGAGTATGGGAACACAGTAGACTCTCGACTGGAACACGATTAGAAGGGGGAAACGCACCTTGTCCCTGCCCCCTCCTTCCTTCCCTCCTCAGTCCTCCTATCCTTCTCATCTCAAGGAGGCCCTGTAGGAGGCCAGTGGGAGCCCAAGTATGAGGAAATGCTGATATTTTGCAAGGGATCAGAACCTAGAAGAAGACTCTGAGAAAATGAAGATGCTCAGAGAGGGGCAGGTTATTTTTCAGGGATGTGACTGCAGATTGTTGGTTCCCAGGATTCCTGGGACTGCCCACTAGCACTGCCCAGCACCTTGTGGGCGTTCAGTAAATATTAGTGGAACAGAATTTCCCCGAAATAAGCAAATAAAGTTCCCTATGTGAACACTTCATGAGTTTAACCAAATCCGTGGCTTGCAGAGAAGGAGAAGAAATGGGGTGTAACACAGTTACAAGGATTAGGGAGACCCTGTTTTGCAAGGATGCTACAGCAGAGTGGACTTGAAAGTCTCAGGGGGCTTCCTTCCAACCAGTCCTGCATACTTGGTTTTGTCCCTCTTCTGAATGATCTGCCATCTCCTGCTCCTCTCTCACTGGGTCCCACAAGGACACCATACTTCCTTTACTGTCAACCTTCTGGGACCTGGGGCTTGTGTTTAACGATTTATGCTATTTGGGAGGTTTTCTTTCTCCTGACCTGGGGATGCTCAGGATCTGGCTTGTCTCAGCTAGTTAGGCTGAGAATAACAACAGGTTTCCCTTGGGCCTTTCCAAACCTAGTGGTAAAGCCACCTCTTATTTGCCAGAGAAGAGATGCAGGCTGATAACACTTTCTTGAACCCCAGAGGAATGAGCCATCTTCTGTGGGAAACAAAAGCAGATGGAGAACCATCCTATACCCTGGGACAGCAGGACAACCTGGAAGTGCCCTTAAGAATGTTGGTGATCAGGGTCTTTAAAAAGAGCTGCAGAGGAGGCAAGTAAAAGACCTTTACGGGGCTTGCATTTGGCAGACTCCCCACTTCTGAGCTGCCTTGCCCCTGGAAGATGTCCTCAGAGCTAACCAGAGGAGGTGCACTGAGGACTTGCTTCTGGGTGCCGATCATTTTAAATAAGAAAGGGTTTCAAAAAGTTCATAGAAAAATGGTATTAAAAGATCCATGAGGTAGGGACAATTTTGTATCTTATTTTACAAATAGATACACTGAAAAGTGGAGTAATTTCTGACAGTTTGGAGATGCTGGCTACTAAGGGCGTGAATGGTTATTAAGAATGCTTAGCACCATGCCTGGCACTTAGAAAATGCTCAATAAATATTATCTGTTGTAGTACTTTCATTATTATTGTTACTATTATTCTGAAACAATAGCATGTGGAAACCTCACTCCATGTGGCCACATCTCTGGTCATGTAAGTGATTCATCAGTCAACAGTGTCAGCTGTGTGCTGGAGGCTCATAGGGACTTACAGGAGTTTATTTTAGCATCTCTTTCTGACTCTGTGTTTGATGACATCATGTTGGCAGTTTGAAATCATAATGGGATTATGGGAATACCATGGAAACCAACAAATGTTATAAATTAGGACCCCTAGATTGGTGGTTGTTAAACATTTACCAGCATTCATAAAACCTAAAAAGTGGAGATAGTCTAAATATCCATCAATTGATAAATGGATAAATAAAACATAGTTTCTCAAATACAAATAGAATATTATTCAGCCATTCTACAACATGGCTGAAGTTGAAAACATTATACAAAGTGAAAGACACTCACAAATAAGTAAAAAACAATCATATATCATATGATTCCATTTATATGAAATGTTCAGAATGGGCAAATCCTTAGAAACAGAAACAGAAAGCAGATTAACAATTGACAGGAGATGTGAGGTAGAGGGGAAAGGAAGTATCTACTAGTGGGTTCAGGATTTCTTGTGGGGTAATAAAAATGTTCTAAAATTGACTGTAGTGGTGTTGTATAACTCTGTAACTATACATACAAAAAACCAATGAATTGTAATTAAATGGATAAATTGCATGGAATGCGAACTATATTTCAATAAAGCTGTTATAAAATAACCAAATAAATTTTGTTGTTGTTGTTTGTTTGTTTTTTGCCAGCATACTATGAACTGGTCATGATATGCTAGCAGTGTTGTGCATGGAGACAAGAAAAACACTGAGTATTCTCAGAGCAGTGAGAGAAGTAGATCAGAAGTGTCCTGCGTTGCTTGGAAATAGATGGTTTAATAAGTAAAACATGTCCTTAATTCCATCTTCCCTGTATTCATTATACAAGCAGTTATTTAGGACAGATCATGTTCCAGGAGACAAAAAGAGGACCAAAACAAAACCTCTGCCTTTGAAGATTTCACAGCCCATAGTACCAAGAGAAGGGGGAGTCAGGAAAATATTTAGAAAAGTAAGGAAAACAATGGGACAGAGTTTTGTGGAAACAAACTCACCATTTCTGGCCTAGTTCTGAGTAGGTGTCAGCCATATTCCTTGTTTGGTGCATGAGTTCCCAAAGAAGTCAATTACTGGAAAAGGGAGTAAGGGGGCAGAGAGCACACAGGAGATAGCCTGGAGGGCTATAATGGGTGGACTACCTAATAAGAAGTGTGTTGATGTGGCCTCACTTGCTGTTTCCTCTTCATTCTCAGTTTGTAAAACAGCATCTGTATTAGTCATAGTCCCAACAGGGAACAGGACATCCTCAGATTAGACTGTCTATACAAGGGCATTGTCTGTTCAAGGTGAGCTCAAAGGAGATACATTAGGGAATATGTACACTGAACTCACTCTCTGACCTCTCTCCTGAAACCTGTTGGGGCTCCACACTGCCCACACCAAACAGAAACCAGAGGGCACTTGAGTCTGGAAATCCATACAAGTCAGTCTGCCTGGGCAGAGAGTAGCAGGGACAAAGAAGTATCTGTATAAGATCTAGAGGGACAAATACCAGCTACTTGGCCCAATATGGAAATCTGAAGTGATATCCTTAGAAAAAAAAAAGGAAATAATGGACCAATAAATTACATCAAGATAAATGGAGAAAGGACTGAAGTTGCCAAAGACTTCAATTTGCTTGGATCCACTATCAACCATCATGGAAGCAGCAGTCAAGAAATCAAACAATGTATTGCATTAGGCAAATTTGCTACCCAAGACCTCTTTAAAGAGTTCAAGAGAAAAGCTGTCAGTTTGAGGATTAAGGTATGCCTGGCCCAAGACATGGTATTTTCCATCACCTCATATGCATGTAAAAGTTAGGTTATGAATAAGGAAGACCACAGAAAAATTGATGCATTTGAATTTAAATGCTGGAGAAGTGTATTAAAAGTACCATGGAATGCCAGAAGAACAAACAAGTCTGTGTTGGAAGAAGTACAACCAGAAAGCTCCTTAGAAGACAAGATGATGCGCCTTCATCTCTCATCCTTTGGTCATATTATTAAGAGGGCCAGCCCCTAGACATCCTGCTTGATATAAAGTGAAGAGTCAGCAAAAAAGAGGAAGATCTCCAATGAGGTGTATTGACAGTGGCCGCAGCACCGGGAGGTTTTTTGTTCTGCTGTGCAAAGGGTCAATATGAATCAGAATCGACTCCCTGCACTTAAAAACAGTAACAACAACAAAAACATAACTTAAAAGAACATGCTGAAAAGAACACTCTGAGGATTACTTCTCTCCTCATGCTGGTCTGCTAATTCCATCAAAACCATAATTCACTTTACTTTTTAACCTTTTATTGTGAAGTGAGTGAATGTTTACAGAGAAGAGTATCAGTGTCATAGTCAACAGATCATATACTTTGCTTCATCTCAATGATTACAATCCCCTCATTCAACAATAGTTATCTTACTTCCTCATTAGATTTTTATTTCTATTCCACCCTCCTTCCTATCTCATCTCAACTTTGTCCTTCGGCAAATGTTGCCCTTTTGATTATCAATGATTGACTGTTTCATGATGTGTATACCTTACTAGTTTTGTTATCCCCGCTATATACCTACAGACTGCTTGACTGAAAGATGGGCTACAAAGGTGAATTTCATTCCTGACCTAAAGGGTGTTCGAGGGCCATAGTCTTAGGTTCCTTCATTCTTTCTACAACTAGTAATGCCGGTCTTTTTTGTATTTTTGACTTTTGTTCCACATTTTCTCCCACTCTATCCAAGACCTTCAAATGTGAGCCCTTTCAGGACAGTAGGTAGTGGTAGCTGGGCACCATCTAGTTCTTCTGATCTCAGAGTCAAAGTGACTGATGCTCACCTGCTCCATTGATCCATTGGACTAGTTGATTCCAAACATCGCTAATCTTCATCACTCTTCTTTCTTCTGCACATGGAGAGATAGCTGCACCTTAGATGGCTGCTCATGAGTATTTAAGATCCCAGTTGATACTCACCAAAAATAAGATGCAGACTTTGTGGATTCTGTTATGCCAATTGATCATGATATTCCCTGAGAGTATGATCCTGAGCCCC